TGGAACGGAATTTGTGTGCATTGAAGGAAAACCCATCAAGACAAGTTACATAAATCTCCCAGCAGTAAGACAGCTCCTGCCATTTTTCACCAGAGTGCCGATTCAGGACACGCATCCTTATTGTTGACAAGATGGCGTGGTCCATCACACGGAGAACAGCTGCGATCGGGAGCGAGGGCTTTCAGATTCTTTTGGAGTCTCGCAATGCTCCCGATCAGGTACTTTGGGAATAATCCCGATCAAGCAGAACCATTCCGTTTCGTCTGGCTATGCAAAATTCTCCATTCTGACCAACTCAAGCTCTGTCCAAGATCTACACTCATTAGCTGTAGTGACACCGATGTACTAGAACGCAAGTTACAGCACTCTTATTAATTTGCCTGCAATTATGTGTGCCAATTTCTGCCTTTACAGCAAGCAGTGCTACTTACTATCTGCCTAATTGTGGTTTCATTCACATTAGCTACAGAGCAGGAGCTCATTATTGTACAATGTTCAAATACACAAGAAGCACTTCAGCAGCCAGGAAAGTGGACTGCTACTGTACACTGGATTGTGCTTTCTTCAGAGCAGCCCTTCAGACCCATGTTTCAACGAAGTAGAACAGAGCGACTTTCATTCGCCTTCAAGGCCACAGTGTGCTATCCAGTACAGAAGGAAGAGCAAGTGCCTTAGACAACAAGTGTGTAGCTGGTGTTGCCTTCATGAAGTGGAGGCTAATATTTCAAGACCCAATACCTCAGAAAGGACCTTAACTCTCGCAGTGGAAATTCACCTTTTCCCAGCTGACTGACTACTGCAAGAAGCCTGAGACACTGTAGGTTTACATTCCCTTTCAATTGTTATTGAAAACCCTTTATTATGAAATTTAGGGGACTCTACTATTTTAATATTTTAACACATTTATCTTAAGTGTTGAAAAATACTGTCTTTCAGTATTGTCGTATTTGTCATTAGAATGGCAAAAGATAAAAGATTCTACATTGTTCTTTTTAAGAAAAAAAAATGGCTTAAGTGTAGAGTTTTCTCCCCAAATCCCTCCTATGAATTAACCCCCAAGGAAACGCAATAAAAAGCTCAGGAGCAGCTGCAGACTGACCAGTCCACACCACACAATAAGTAACAAAAGGCTCTTTTAACGCACCGAGATAATCAGCACACATCTACCCACCAAGAGCTTTCTGAACCATCTGCAAGACGGCAGACCCTTCTGATTGTGAAACCACTGGCACCATGCTATCATGTCCTCATGTCAATGAAATTTATCTCCTAGCAACAGTCAAGCTCCATGCCTGGAAACCAAAGGCTTGCATTCAGCGAACAATTCAAAGACAAGGGAATGTCCTGGGCTCCGGACTAGATTACCAAATGGCTTCCATTGTGAAATGTCAACTGCGCAGGGGGAAAAAAAAACAACAAGCACCGACAAGACCAACGTAAACCGCCGCAAAGATGCTCCTTAAAAATCAGAACTGGCACAAAGCGCACAGCCAAGTATGGCCTCGCCTTGCTGATCTGGGGGCAGGGAGGTCTTGGCGTGTGGATTACAGTTCAGGGCACGGCGCTGCCACAGGACTCCTGCTGCCGAAACCGCCGCAGGGTACGGTGTGGTACTGCGTGGCGCCCATCGGCAAAACCGGGCCTTCTTCCTAACTACGAAGGCAACAAAACAATCACACTTTTGGACGGGTACAAAGCTCGCCATTTGCGTTTCCTAAACTTGTGCTGAACCTGTGTTCGGTGGCAAGACGCAGGGCTAACCGCAGGGGAGCAAAGAGGTGTGGATCGCTGCACCAGTAGATCAGGCTCTGTAATGGCCAGTCTGCATCCTGACATAGGGTGACGCACACCTTCGCAGTACTCCCGAGCGCCAGCTCCGCACAATGTTGCCTTTGCGCTAGCGGTCGTGGCTGGGGCTCGGACACCAGACCTCGGCGCGCGCGAGCAAGCTCGGGGCGATCCCAGGGCTAGCGACAGAGCCCCCGGCGACCCCCCCCTCGGCACAGGGGCTGCAGCTCCCACCTCACGCTGCCCCTATCCTTGCACATCGCCCTCTCCCGGCGACGCCGCTCCGGCAAACCTGGAACTCGCCCAACGCACACTGCTTTCCCAAAACACTGCCACGGCAAGAGCCGTGAAGAGGTCGCTCTTACTCTGTGGCGACAACGCCACACGGTAAACTGGAGAGGAACAGAGAGAGCCCACCTACAGGCTCTTCCCTTAATTCGGCTGTTGTTGCAGACGATGCGACAGCTGAACGGGTCCCTCAGCCCAAGGTCTAACATCGCCAGCATTACTGACACAGGAAATATTCCAGCAAACAGAACAGGGGGCTCTCCTCGCGCCCATCAGCTGAAACGGCAGCCAGCGCAGGAGTCCAGCAACTGCAGAAATACCTTGGAAGTGGAAACCAGTGAACTATTCAATTCACTGGCCCAAGTCATCTCTCCGTTATGAAGTTCTTCCAGAGGTAATGCCAAAAAAAAAACCCGAAAAGGCAGTTGTTTTCTGTCAGCACGGAAGGTAAACTGTTTTGCCGGCTCACAAAGACACCTATCGGGGGGGACGTCTGCCAGGAGAGACGTGAATCCGGACTGGCTATGGGTCAGGCAGACTTCCTCACTGTTCTTTCACACAGGTGTAGGCCAACAACCAGAGCAGAGCCGAAGCAGTGTTCAATTCACAGCACGTGGTGATACACGTCACCGGGACTAGCATTATAAAGGCAGCGAAGGACTCGCGTTTAAGGTCCATTAACCTGCATTTTTATGGACCCTCCACTCCAGCAGAGCACAGAGGTGAACTGTACTGCCCGTCGCCAGCCAGAAGCTGTCAGAGAGAACCCCACAGGCAGGGCAGGGTCAGTCCCCACGCAGAGCGAGGTCTGCTGCCCGCGCTGTACCTGCAGACAGGCCTGAGCCCAGCACTCGGACACGTCCCTGCTCCGAGAGCGATGACAGCGTTCTCACACTGCATTATAAACCCCCCACCAGGTTCCTTATGTGTGTATATATATATATCTATATCAGTCAGTTCCAACCAATTTATTGCACAGCACAGTGTGGCTGAATTACTGAAACAGGAGCCTAGGAGTTTGCACAGGTGAGAAATTTGCTGAATCCGCGGATTGTGTTACTAACTACAGTATAATTCTATACCGTGGTGCTCTCTTGCTCAATAATTAGACACAATTACAACAAAGCTGTAGCCACGAGAGCCCGTCTGCTCATCACGGTGCTGCAGAGTGAATCAGAAGCAATTTCAGAGTCACGTTTTAAACCGCTAGGATACCACCCTGATCCAAACAAACAAACAAACACAAAACGCAGTCCTACACAAGAAGAAAAGGAAGAAATATGGTGCCGAAAAAAAAAAAGAGCCATTTCAATTCAGGTCTGGCTTTTTGCCCCTTGAAAGCACATCTTCAGTCACTCTATAAGGAGCTGCTCAGGTACAGTACCAGAAGACGCAAAGGTTATTGACAGCCTACTACATTCGCACACCTCCTTCTTTCACACCAGTCATGAAGAACGAAACCCAAATGGTGCCAGAGCACAGTTCTTAGCTCAACACCGCAGGCTTGAGCCACACAAGATCGCCCTCATTGGTTGCAGAAACTCTCCGAAAACCCACCCTCCAGTGAATACAGCGGGAAAGCAACACTCCATAAGGTACTATATTAAAAAAAAGCACAGCATATGACCTCCTGTAGATCAGAATTCACTTAAAAGCTTTATTTTTGAATTACGGGGGAAAAAAGCATTTTGACATTTTGATATAATTGACAGGGCAATGCATTCAATACCTGGAATGAGAGTAACCAAAAAAATTCCCACTCTACTGAATAATTGCAAAGTCCTTAAAAGCACTTCTGCCAAAAGCTTCCAAAATTGCTTGCCATGAAGAACCTCACATTACACACCAAAGAATAATTTTTAGAAATGTATGGCTAGAGTTTTTACCCACAGTTAATAACAGAAAGAAAAAGGTTCTTTTAATGTGGTAATTAGGGAAGTCTGATGCTGCACTGCAATTGATCTCAGGGAACCAGAAAATGTTCCCACCAGCTCTAGCAAACATGAGAAGTGACACTGATGGTTTGAGAACTTGACAAGATGGTAATCACTGTCTTCTAGTTCCAAGAACAGGCTGGACATCGTGGCCTGAAAACATTCCACTCAGCTGATGTTCCACACGCAAAGACAAGGCTGCAAGACTACTATTAAGGTGCAGAAATAAGTTCTGTCTCTGTAGATCAGTATGATCCACAGAACGCCATTCTGTCCAGAGATTCTGCCAGTTATAATCCAGCAGGTCCTGAAGAGTGAGCTAAAGCAGAGACCCAGTGGCTGCAGACCCACGACTGAAACCCTGCCTGCACCGACATCTCACACTCCACCCAGAGAACTGACACACCACAACGGCTACGGGTCCAGGCAGCCCTCCACAATGACTCCAAAGAACATCCCCAACAACGTAATGCACTATCAGGAAGTTGTGGTCAACAAAACCCACTTGGAGCGGAATAGTTTTTAAGTAACCCCCCCCCCACCATGCGAAACGCATGACACTTCAGAAAACCACCCACAATCATTCACGAATAACACAACACCACCTGGCTCAAACGCAATGACAATAACACGACAACACCGATCAGTCAATGGGGCTGTTGTCTTCCCACCCCTCAAACAGAAAAGAGTGCCCATCTAATGTCTCTATTAATTACCACTTATTCATGTGACACTTTCATCCCATGTGACTTACATTTTCATCCAGTTCCACAGCTGGGTATTTCAATGGAGCTGTATGGGTGGAGTACCTGGCTCAAGGGTACAACGGCAGGGTCTCCCCTGGGGTTTGAACCCACAACCTTCCACTAACAGGCCCACGGCCCCGATCGCTGCTGTGCCACAACTGTTGCCCCCTTCCGGCCTCTACGCCACCAGCCGCTGCCCGCAAAGAGGCAAGAGCGAAACCCCGCCAGCGCCGCAGAGCCCTACCTGGTCTCTCTCGTGTGGGAGGAGGGTCACGGGCGGGAGACACGCTATGGAAGAACTGGCGTATCTCGGGGGCCCCTTTCCTTCCGCTCCCCCGTAGTTCATCCTGTACAGCGGCCCGTCCTTCAGCAGCCGCCCGTTGTTGACGGCCCGCTTGGCCGCCAAGCGGAAGCGCTGCTGGAACACGGGGTGGCCGACGACGCCGGCCAGGTCGGCCTGGCTCCGCAGGTACCTCTCGATGTTCTTCAGAGACGAGCCGCCGGGATCGTCCAGGCCTTCGATGGCCCTCTTCAGGATCCTATTCCAGTCGACATGGCGGAGGTCGCCGGAGGGGTCGACGGATCCCTTCGGAGGGGGAGGGGGGG